AGTATACTAAGTGTCGTTGCACTTCCTGAGGATTTATACTGTCAATGAGAGACAAAGCTGCCAAGAGTAGCTCTGAGCTACCGCAAGCATCATTATCATTATCTGTCATAATACCAGCTTCAATTTGTTCTTGACTCTCAGGATATGCAATTGCAAGTATCTCATGCATCCACATGAGGGTATGCAAAAGTGTACGCGGTCCATATTCGCCTGGATCAAGCGAACCAGGAGGTATGAACGGAGAACCTGGTTCGCCTGCAATGAAGGCCTGAACAAATGCTTGAGACTCCATTTCAATTAAGTCTTCAATAGTATGGGGAGATTCTCCCAGCAGAAAAGGCCTGTGTCCAGGCGGGATTTCGGGCGGAGGTTCGAGGTTCCGTTGAACCTCGGAAGGCGAAGCCTCTATAGTGGTGTCCTCGTCGTCGCTCTCGTAGGCCATGATGTTGCCTGGGTTCCCGAACATCCAGTCGAAGAAGGAAAGAGGCTCGTGTCCGAGCGTACCGTGTTCCACGGGAGTGAGTTCATTACTGCCCGTGACGAACCGGCGGACGTACTCGAGGTAATACGCGTATAATCCATGACCATACCCCTCGAGCTCGTCAATGTTGTCCATGCCAACGACCCATGTGAAAAATATATGTTCCATAGCCTCAAAGTCCTGGAGGCTCAGATACTCAATGGATGGTGTGCTCGAGCCAAAATGGACTTCGGACGACATGCCCTTTCCATTTCCCTTCGCTGGACAATCTCGCACAAGATGATCGGAACTACCACATTCATGGCATTTGAGAACCTGGCCGTCTCTACCTCGCGGGTTTCCCCGCCTACCTTTACCTTTACCTGAGGTCTCTCCACGGCTCTCCCCCAAAGAATATCTCATCATGTTGTTCATCTGAGAGCCTCTGGAGAAATGCCGCGACACCTCGCCCGTTCAACCTCCGACGACCACGCTTGCCTTTACCCTTTCCTTTAAAACTTCTGCGTATCCTCCTTCTAACACGACGCACTGGTTTTCGTGTGAACCTCCTCCACCTTCGCTTAGCCTGTTGTAACAGCCAGAATAAATGCTCAGCACGCTGATTGTCGGTATCCATATTCATGATATCTGACCAATCTAGAGCTTCAACACCATCTGATGATATAGTGTCTGTGTCGGTGCCGGAGTCGAAATCTTCGTCTCCTAAATAGGTGGATACACCGTCGGTTAGGGGATTTGATTCCCCCCATAACGAGCGGTGTGATTGCGGTTCTCTAGAAGGAGGGCTGGTTGCCCAGCTTGGTTGTGATCGATCCCCTGCTAATAAAGCAGTGGATTATCCTGGGTCATCGGCCCATATGTTTGAGGGCCCGTTTCCAGGCTGGACTTCAGTAGTCAAGGTAGTGTAGAAATTTCCACTGCCAGATCCCCGTCCTCTTCCAAACACGGATCCTATGTTGCCAGGGGATCGTTCGGATAGGTGACCTACCGAACGCATCCTTTCCAGCAACTCATCATATTGTTGTTGTGTTCGAGGCATTTGGTGGTTGAGTGGCTGTAAGAGTTGCGTGGCTTTCTGGTTGCCGACGCCTAAGGCGCGGAATAGGATAGTGGTTAGCAGTTGGAAGTTAGGAAGGTCGAATCCCACCGACTGTGCCTCAAGTCGGGCCATTTCGAATCGGGTAAGGGTGACATCGATTCGTTCCCCGTGAGGCACATGGAAGTCGATGAGTTGTGTGCCGGAAGTGAGCTGTCGCTCATCTTCCAGGCGTTCGAACTTCATGCTGATGAGGAACATGATGTAAGTTACTGGGTCTGTGTGGACCCCATCAATGTCAGCACCATAGTTTATAATGTCAGGCGGTACCCTCATGGCGAGTGTCCTCGCTAGGCCTCCCAGGCCGCGTTGTATTGCGGCCGCTTGGGCCTGTGGCGTCATACGTCCGCTTGTAACGTTGAGCCACGCGTTGACCTCGTAAATGTACTCACGAAAAGGCACATTACCCTGAGGGTCCCAATATGGGCCATGTGTTTGCCCATCGGTGCTGTTATCTCCCCGACGCATGTGTGCGATTGCTGCCCCTAGCGCGAACCATATGATAGCGAAAACGATTAGCCCAAGAATGTGTAACGAAGAATGGTTATGATGAGCGGTGTCACGCTGGGGTAGCGCCTTGTCGAGTCTTCGAGGCGCTCTGTCTGGCGGGTTTCCCCGCCCTTGCTTCAGGTATTGCGGTATTGGCTCGTTGCCGAGCGGTTGATAGTAACGCAATGATGAAGCGTATATGGTACCAATCTGGTCGTCTAGACGTCGTACCTCTCGTGTAGCTTCTTGCTCTTGAATAGATCCTCGTAAATGTACTGGGAGTGGTGGCGCAGGGTAGTAGGTGGCCACGAAGATCGCGCCGAAGAATGCGAGGCTGAGAAGAGCAAGAGCTGACCACACGAGAGTGCGGCCAGCTCCGCTACCAAGTCGAAAGTGAGCTTGGTAACTCAAATAGGGCATATAGCCTATCATATAGCATCCGATTCCAAGGCGCTGACCGTGGACATCGGATGGCAAATAGCGTCCATCGCTCTGCTGTAGCTGTGAAGGTACAGTATGAGGGGAGGGCGGATAAGATAGGATAAGATCGATGTAATGATCTTTCCAGCACATAGCGAACACTCGCGGTGTCCGGGCAAATAGGGCGCGCGTGCCTTGAGCCCAAGGCAGCGGCGCGCGAGCTATGCTCCCGATACTGTAACATCTTCCAAAGAGCTACCCTTAAAATGGGGGAGGTGGAATAGATTTGAAAATCCTATCGATCTGCGAAGGCAAGTCGGGGCGAACATGAGAACAGAACGAAGGGTTGGTACGTGCCGCGCGCCCCCCGCGATGCGGGGCGCCCTTCTCTCGTACGCCCCCCCGCGCGGACGCATTACCCGTGCAGACTGCATAACCGCGGGGAACGCAGCCCACGAATCCTGACCTCGAGGGCACGGCGCCGAGGAAAGCCACGGCATCGATACGCTGCTCCCCTACCTCCTTCCTCCCCACCTCCTCCTCCTCCTCCTCCTCCTCCTCCTCCTCCTTAGTAAGGCAAGGGCTGGCGGACACCCCGCGCGGCAACCAGCCCCAACACACCCGCCACACAAGTGGACGCTTAGCACGTGCACACCAACACATGTTGACGCGAAGAGCTTTCACATCAACACGTGTTGACGTGAAGGCCCCTCACATCAACACGTGTTGACGTGATGGCCCGTCACGTCAACACGTGTTGGCGTGGGGGGGGGGGCGCCGTCAACAAGAAAACATGCCATTTCATCAACTCTAGTCCTGCACACCGCATTGATTTACACGATAACACACCGTGATAGGCGTTACTAACTCGTCTGCGAATCCATATCGGTTTGACCAGCGTAGGCTTCCTCTGAACTTCACAGGTAGAATGTGCAGCGCGCCTCCTGATGGACCCTGGATCAGCGAATCTCCCGCACGGATCTGCAGCGGCGGCCGAACATTGCAGTGACAGACGCTCGTTATTCCTCCTCCTCCTCTCAATCCTCCGCCACCCCCATCGTCCTCCCTCTCACTGACCCTCCGCATTTTCATCTTCCGAATCTTATCCAGCAGGTACTCTCGGTGTTACCCATCATCTGTCTAGCCATCCTCCATCCCCCATTGGCTCATCTTGATCACCATCATTATCATTCAATGTGTTCTTATAGTGTCAACCCCAACCCCCATTTCTCGCATATCCCTCAGTATATATATCTCGCGTCATGTGTCCTGTCTCCTCGTTGCCGCACCCTCCGAATTACTAACTGATCCTCCCCCGTTTACCCTCAATCACCCATCCATCCATCCATCCATCATCCCGTCATCCACATCTTACTTTTACGCATCTTCGTCCCTCCCCTGATCCTCCACTCCTCCGTGACCATCCGTATGCCGACTATTGCGTCCCGTACAAAGTGGGACGCGGGCCGGGGGGGTGCGGGCAAAAGGGAAACGGCGATGCAGTGCAGATATCAAACTGGCACAATGCTCACGATCTTTCATTCTCAAACCTAGGTGGCAACACGCGCTCCCCGGCGCATTGACATCACAGTCCACAAAAACCACGCATCATGGACCGAAGCGTGCCATTCGATGGCTGGCGAAAGCACTGCATACTCGTATGCAGGTTACATCGTGCATCCTCTGCCCTCCACCGTGATCATAGTCATCGTGATTGATTGGGGTGAATCGGTCGCGGATGGTGCTAGTGATGCTGATGTGATGATGATGTGGAATAGTGTAGGCGATGCTGAAAATGATGGGGGTGATGGCGATTGCGGATGCTCATCACCGTCATGGTGTGTGTGAGCGACGCGATGATGATCATGATATTGATGGAGATCGAGATTTACCAGTCAATGTAATGGTATTGATGATGATGAGGGGCTAACATCATAATGATGAGATTGATGGTAATGATTATGATGATGATGGTGGATCTGGTGATTACGATGGTCATCAGATCTCTTAAACAGGATGGCGCCACGGTCGGAGCTTGACACCAGTGTAGGATAGAGAGGATGAGACCCATCTCCACGCGTCCTCAGTGATACTTGCCTAGGTCCTACCTCCTCCCCAATCGTTCATGTCCTCCCCCTCCCACCGTCGCCGTCCTCTCCCCTCCCCTACCTCCTCCTCGGACGTCGTTCAGGCCTTATGCCCACGTCCTCCATCCCTATCTTGAATATACTCGCCTCCGCGACCATCATTGCGATCGAGAGGCCAGTGACACGGGCGCGGCGCCCCAACGGCTGCCAGAGCAGCGCAAGCCGAGCAATACTGGAAACACCCAGCGTCGAGTGTCGAGCCGAGCTCTGACCGACATCGATTATGTTCATCCTCCTGCAACATCCATCCTCATCTTTGTCACCGTCGTCATCGTCGTCGGTCGTCGTCATCGTGATCATCCTTCCTCCTTCACTCCCCGTTCTCCTCGGGGTCATCCTACCCTCGGCCAGTGCAAGGGGCGGCGCCCTAGCTGCCCTCCGCCGCGGCCATGGACGCGGCGGACTGCTGCGGAGAGGCAATCTCCTTCATGAACTCGATGAAATACACGCGGCGCTCAGCATACATATCCTGGCCCATCTTCCTGGGGATGTGGAGGATGGGGAAGGGCGTTACTTGAGCATCCATCCCAATACTGAGTATTGGCATGGACGATCAAATAACGATGAGGGTTGCGAAATGTGTTGCAACCCTGTCCTCGTGAGCACCTCCACGTTGTAGTTCAGGACCGCCTCCAGAACATTCTTTGGGGCAATCTTCATGGCGTCAACGTTCCAGTAGGGCTGCATCCAGATCCCCGCAAACTCTGTAGGCTCCACCTTCTTGGCCTTCTCCACGTTCACGTGGAATGGCATGAACAACCAACCCCATGGAACGTAGACGCACTGCTTGGGCTTCAGTTTCTGGACGATCCCAGCATCTCTCACCAGTTTCGCCGCCTCTGCCGTCTCCATGAACGCAGTCAGGTCGCCGAGAGACACCCCCGTGGCGAGGATATTGTCGATCGGGAGCGCCAAAAAGAAGAGATCCTCGGACAAGGCCTGCAACACATGCCCCACTCCAGGCAGGGGCACGCACGAGCGCAGCTCCTTGAACGCACCGCGCAGCAGGATCGCTAGCCAAGGAGACGCCGCAGGATCGCAACAGTCGATTGCGTCCGTGAACACATGATCACCCTCCACGCGGCCGTCGACCTTCGCCATGCAGCCTGTCCATTTCTTGGCGGCCGCGTGGTCGCTTGCCTCCTGCAAGCGTTCGGAGACATGCTCGTGGCACTTGGACTGGAAAGCGGCAACATGCAGGCACACCGGAACGCACGAAGTGCGGGGCCACGGGCAACAGAGAAATGGGGAGGCGGGGTCGTCGATTATTGCACTACTGCGTTGCCCTTTTGTCTGTTTTCCTCCTCCTCCCCCTCCTCGTCCGCCTCCTTCCCTGCCCCATCTGTAGTGCAGGGGTCAATCCTATCTTCTGTCGATCCCCCCCCCTCCTCCTCCTCCTCCTCCTCCTCCTCCACGTTCCCAACCTCCTCGTTCGAATTATCTAGTCCCGTCCACTGCTCCACCTCCTTTTCCCCCTTCCTCCCTTGGGCTCGAAGACCCACCGTGTTCCCTCTCCCTCGAGAGTTGCCTTACCCGGAACGACCGTGATGGGCACGCGCACACACACGCACATACCACACACGCACACAACACACAGACACACACACACACACACACACACACACACACACACACACACACACACACACACGCACATACCACACACGCACACAACACACACAGCGTATTGCACCTGGCATGCGTTGCTAGGTAGTACATGTTTAAGTAACATGGGTATACATTGTACAGGTACGATGACATCAACCTAACACTTGATACAGACGCGGCACACACGTAATCCGAATGCAGCATTACACGCCACGCATCACACATTACGCGTGTTCCATGTAAGCACAACACATTGAATATATATATATATTAAAGTAGAAAAAAAACAAACAAACAAAAAAAAAAAAAAAAAAAAAAAAAAAAAAAAAAAAAAAAAAAAAAAAAAAAAAAAAAAAAAAAAAAAAAAAAAAAAAAAAAAACGCAAGTGTCAGTTTTCGCGTGCGGTGTCGTACTTCTGGATATGTCCCATAGTGAACTAGCACACGACGTGTGTACGTATGTGCATAGTGAGTACACGTACTCCGAATATTAGTAAATAGCAGCAGGCTGTATGGACCCAACATGTACCCCTAGCATAACGCACAGCTACATTACAGCAGCGGCAAACATATAAGTATAGTTTTATGTTGTACACATAAATGAACATACATAATCCGTTATGCCATATACGCGCATACATCATTAGGGCCCCTGGGGCACGCCCGTGGGTTCATTTTGGTGGTTGCTCTCATAGGCCTGTCGGTTATTTGGGCGCGCAGTGTAACACATCCTGGGGCATGACAATGGGTCCTTTCGGCACGGCAGCGGGTCCCCTGGGTTCTGCAATGGGGCGCGGTTGCATGACAACGGGCTTCAGGAAACCATGAAGGGCCCAGCAAGAACGCAGCGCATTGAAACGGAGACACACACACGACGATGCATGCGCGTGCACGCGCATGCGCGCTAAAAGTACAGGCGGACCCTGCACGCGCAGACACCCGCACACACGCGCACCTATATGTCCACGACGAAACACGCACCCGTAGGAAATGTACAGACATGGTGACATAGCCGAGCGCAAACATAGGCACCGCTACACCATACTGCACCACGCACGCAGACACATCAACAACGCACTGTGCACACGCAAGCAAATACAGTAGACAGCGATACCATGAATTATGCACAGCAGACGCCCAGACTCGAGCAGACAGGCAGGCGCACGGTCTCCTCCTCCTCCTCCTCCTCCTCTTTCTCCTCCTCCTCCTCCTCCTCCTTCTCCTCCTCCTCCTCCCCCTCCCCGCCCGCCCCCCCCCCTTCTTTGTCCGCGACGTCTTACCAGCGCCGCGCGGGTTACTTCAGCGCCCCGCGGGCGGCCCCAGCACCCCGCGGGTTAGTCTGACACCCCGAGGGCGCCCCCGCCTCTTGTGAACCCCAGCACCCCGCTGCGTGCCCCAGCCCCCCCGCGGGCCCGTGGGCTGCCCCAGCGCCCAGTGGGGTCTCCCAGCGCCCTTTGGCTGACACGCGCGCCCTGCCGTACTCCAGCGCCCAGATGACCCACCCGCTCCAACCCCCTTTCCTCCGACCTCGTCATCTGCGTTCCGCCGCGCGGGCCCTTTGCGCGCGGCGGCGAGCGGCGGCGGCCCGCGGCCGCGGCCGCCGCCCAGACTCGCAGCGAGCGGCCCTTCGCGCGGGAGCGGATGGGGGCGCGCGCGGAGACGCGCAAGCGCGGGGTTGGAAGCAACGGCCACGGGGCAGGAAAATAGCACAGGAGCTCGGCAACGGGAGAGCAAGGGGGGGCAGGTGGGGCCCCAGGAAGACGAAGTACAAGCCAACGGCGAAACGCCAGGGGAAGGCGGGGCGGGGGAACTCGGACACTCTGAAGCGGAGATGCAGACGGAGAGCCAGAGGAAGAAAAATCGGCGGCGCGGCGGCGCGCTAAAGTCGTTCGCGCAGGGCGGGGCGTCGCTGAGCCTCTGGGCGTCGCTTTCGGGCCTGGCCAGCTGGTTCCTCGCGGCGCCGACTGCGAGCCGCTCGTCGATGAGGCAGCGGGCGCCGCCGCGAGCCCTTGGGAGGTTCAGCACCTCCAGGCAACTGTCCCGCCTGGTCCAGTCCATGCGCTTGGTCGCGCAGTTGGCCGCCCGCGCAACCGCCCCAACGGCGGAAACCGATGAGGCGCAGGCGTGCTCCTGCCTTGGATCGGGGGCGGGTTCGTTCAACCGATCTCTCCACGCAATCCCGACCTGAAGCTTGTCAAGTTTCTTGGCCATGTCGGGCGGAGACCCAGTCGCGCCTGCCACTGCCCCCATGCGGCCCCGCACCAATGGGTCTGGGGCACCCTTGGGAACCGCTTGACCTGGCGCCAGGGGGAAGCATCGATGCGCCCCAATGCACCGTGAAACGCATGAGCGCACGTCGGAGGCCCGACCCAGCGGAAGGGCGGACTGCGCGTCGCGCGCGTATTTCGCCCGCGGAACGACGCCCCAGGATCCGCGCTTGCCTTGGCGGCACCCGCGTCCGCAAGCGCGCTGCTCTTGCATTCTTCGGCGCCGTGCTCCTGGAGGTCTGGTGCGCCAGGAGCTCCTCGGGCGCCCTATCTGAATCGCGCCCGCACCGCTTGTCGGGGCGACCCCGAGGCCGCCACGCGGTGAATCTCCGCGCCAAGGCCGCGGTGAAAATTAATTAAACGTCGTCGCTGGGCGCCCCGCCAAGGAACGCGCGTCTCCGCCACGGGGCCCTTGGGGTCTCGCAGCGGGCATCTCCCCGTCCGCGGTTGCCACCCCCCTGAAACTGCGCGCGGCTCTGCGGAACCCGTGGCCGCGGCGACTTCGGCGCCAAACGCGCGCGCTTCCCGCCGCCCGCCTCGGCGGTGGGAAAAGTTGCCCAGCAATGCCTTCCAAGTCGTCGTCAATCTCGAAGACGCGCTGGTGTTTGGGCAAGCCGAGTGACCACGATGGGCTCGGCGTCGGGCAAGGGCGTCGGCGCGGCGAGTGGCGACAGTGGCCACGGCGGCAAGGTCTTGGGCGCTGGCCCCGCGCACGAACCACGCCCCGTCCTCGCAGGCGCCGCCTGAGACCCCGAGAAAGGCCGCGACAAGGGGCGCGATCGCCACGGGCCGTCGCGCCCGAGGACAGATCCCTCACGGGCTGGGAGGCGCTCTTCCCCGCGCGCATGATAGCGATCGCGGCGAAGTCCACGGCGCCCCCCGCCCCTTTGCCACAGAGGGTGGCGGGGCCACCCTTCGCGCGAGCCCTCCGCGATGGAAAAGGCGCTGCAGGGCGCGCCCAACAAATTGCCTGCCCTGGGCGCGCCCCTGACTTGGCCCCGCAATGCTTGCCCCGCGCCCCCGCGTCTGTTTGGCGCCCAAACACCAGCCCACTTCCTGCGCGAAGCGGCAGGGGAGCAAGACGCGCAACACCATGGGGACCCCAAGCGCACGAACAGCGAACCAAGCGCGAAAACACACAACGGCGGACAAAGGAAAAGGGAGGGGGGAGAGGGCGCGAGGGGGGGAGGGGGGGGGGAGGGAAGCGGAACGGGCGCGCCGAAGAGGGGGGGAGGGATAGCGAGTCAGCGAAGTTGAAGACGCAAGAGGAGGGAAGAAGAGGGGGATGGGCCCAGCGCCCTCGCGCTCCCGCATTTCACCCCGCCCTCCCGCCCCAGCCCAGGAAACAGTCGGCGCGCGCCCCATTGCAAACCCAGGCGGCCACAAACAATCGCACGCGGGACGCCGTGAGCTGGGCAACCGGAGCACGCCCAGTGGCCCAATGGCGTCGCAAAGATTACGCGCGCACGCGCGTGCAAGCGCGCGAGCACACCCGCACACAATTCACACACAGGTACGCCGCGGGCAGTCCAGAAACTAAGCGGGGATCGAGAGACGAAATAGCAAAAGGAAGCGAGACATAGAACATAAGCAACACCGAAAAACATAGACGCGCTATACACCAATAGGTGGCCATCAAAAAAAATGTTTAGGTTTGTTGAAGAAACACGTGGTGGTTGCTTACACGTGAACCACGTTGTAGTACGGGCACGAACGCTACTACCACGCATGTGTATGTACAGTTGTGTGTGGTCGTCCTGTGATGTGGTTGTTGCTGCGTCTTTGTGGTCCTCATAGGACGACGTCAGTACGCTCATGCATGTAGGGCCAAGCGGCTCTCTGATATAATGAAAGGTAGAACGTCACATGCTAATAGCGTAGTACGCAAACGTCCACCCGATGTCCGTAGATTTTTTAACATGCCGAAAACGCAGCCTTCGCAAGCAGCATTGGCAATAGTGTCATGTGTACTTGTAGGACGTACATATGCCCATGTACATGTTGATGCGTGTTCTTGGTATGTATACATGTTTTAGGCTACGCGCACACATGCATGTTAACATTGTTATGTAGACACATACCACTAGCCGTGCATATGTGACTACGCAAATGCGTGGCATCACCAGCTACATGCATACAAGGCACATACAACAATAACTAGGCTAGAGGCCCACAAGTACGAACGTACTCTACATGCATACGCTCTTCTAGCCATAATGGGACGTATGCACA